TAGCAGGAGTCATAATAATGATTAGGGATCTAATTGCAATACAAATGGAATAAACAGAACACCTTACAGATAGATCAGTAACAGCAACAACTATGATTGTTAAATGCATGGTGACATTATTTGCAGGCATGTCCCCATTTTACAGGCAAGATGTCCCTGTTTGCAGGAGCCAGGTAGTTCCAAATGTGTGGATTTAAGAATACAGCCAGAATTGCATGCAAGGCCTTCTAGTAGCATAGCTAGATCATGAGCAGAGAGAAGGATGGACTCCTGGAATACATTCATGGAATGAAGGGGTTTTTTTTCCTTTTTACTTTAATGTAATATACTTATATCATGATCATTAAGGTTATTATGGAAAAGACATTAGAGGAAGCAAAACAAAGCCAGAGAGTGAGCCAAACATGAGACATATAAGGAATGGTGTCAAATGATGGAACGCTGTTTATGAGATTTCTCCCCTGAACCAACCCTGGCATACGCTTCCTCCTCCATCCTGGCCACCCAGTCAGCTCTGCTTCTGACTCATTCTTCCTGAGACTGGAAAATAATGATTAGTGATCCATTCTCAGCCTTCATTTTACGTTCATCTACTACAGAGTCCCACCTATTCTCCTTTAAAAATGCAAAGTGAGCATTACTTCCAAAGAAAATTTCCAGAGGTCATTATGAGGTGACAGTAGTTTCTTTTACTAGAAAGAGGAATGGCCAAGGTTATACATGGAAAGATGCTTCACAGCACTTGATGAAAACTGCCTTGCAAAACTGTTCTGAATAAACCACACAAAAATACACGAATGCTACTTTCTATCACGGCCACTTGAACTTCGCTTTTCGTCCATGCAAACAAAAATGCTAGTACCCAACACCTTAAAGCCCACAAACGCACCCTGATAATACAAAACTTACATTTGAAAGAAAACATTTTATCATCAAGTCAATTAACATGCCTAGTAAACCCATATTAGAACCACACCTCGGCTTATCACACCTCCTTTCCCTCTAACAAATATCACATGATTCTCCAATTCTAGTTTTAACTTCCAACTTCAATCATAGCTAATTAGAGTGACAACCATCAGAAAATTCAGCGAGTTTGAGGGGATAGGTTCGTTTTATTTCTAGAATGTAAGAAACATACATGAAAATTTCAAACGGCATTTGCGGCCAATAAACAATGATAATGAAAGATATGGCTGAATGATAGGAAAGCTATGAGTCATCCAGGTAAGATTAGCCTGCTTATACCACTTTTCAATATCTTTGAGGGGAAGGAACATGCTGTTATTAAGTTTAAATAATGTGTGACCAGTGATAATATCAGTGATAGAGTGACAGAAAATAACCCATACTGCCAGGAATAGAGTCCTCCTCTTTAGAGAAGCTTCCCTCATGGTTTCCAGGAAGGGACCAGCCAATGCAAGCAGTAACAGAAAATCTGGAGATAGAAGATACCAGAATTTTTTTCCCGAAATATTTACTCCTGGATCTCTGTTGGCTTTCTGTGCCCCTCAACTGCAGAGCAGTGCCCCTGTCTAGCAAGGTGCTGCACCCAGAGTTCCACCTCAGGATCCAGGAAGGTTTCGGATGCCCAGCTTCATCTCCCCTACGCCCCTGACAGTAATTTCAGAAGGATACATCACTCCTTCCTAGGCTGTTTAACTTGTGCCAATACAGAGTCTCCATTCCAAATGCTTTTCCTTGGTGGGGGATTTCTTTCTTGTCGGAAGCAAAACTTATACACACATCAACCAATTTATAATAACCTTGATAGTTCTTTTCCTTGCTGAAATTTGAGTATTTTCATAAGTACTTAAACTAAGTGACTGATAGGTACTCAAAGAAGTTTCTGGTAGGAGAGCTCTGACTACGTTTACCAAGAAGAATAAATACAGTTATTTCTATGAATACAATTTCTTCCCTTTAGATGATACACTACGTATTTATTAGTCAGTTTACCTAAGACTATGATAACAGAGGAAACAGCTACTTTCCCTTCAGGAGGTCTGCGGACTCAAGTTTGACAGCAGATTGAGGGATGACCGTACTAAATTCCATCCATAATGAAGGAAACAGTTCCTAACTTGACACATGCAGTTCCACTTAGTCTCATTTATCCAGTGTGCATTCACTAGATGGAATGAAGCATGTATTACCCATCAGAAGTGCTATCTTCTAAAGACATTCCCCATTATCCACCTACATCTATTCCTATATAAAGGACACATCATCCATATTTGAATATTATAATGGCACATCAAAAGTAGATTGCAAATCAGGAAGGCATTGGGATAATTGACCCTAAATTGAACCTTATTATATTGATCTGGATGCTGTAAATTTATATTCATTTATGGACTTCTGTGGCTTACAATATATAACAAAATATTTGCCAGTATTTTTGTTTTTATAAATAATACCAATACAGATATTGCAAATTTTAAGAACTCATTTTGTATGATAAAAATAAGTAAAAATCATTTCTGGTAAAATGAATATAGCTTATTGTAGCTCAGTAAATCTTAAACGTTGAGTTATACACTGGGACATCAGATTAGCTCAGAAGAAATCACTAAGTACAATATTTCTTCATCTGCCACCTAAGACACTGTTAAAACCAAAACAACAACTGTCAGAAAATATCTCCACTGTGACTGGAGACACCGCTAGTAAGACACATCCAACGAAACTTTGAGCTCATGATAATTTCTTTGCATTCCAATTTTTTGTGTTTCTATAAATGAATTGGATACTTTGTATCCAATAAAAAAGAATCAAAAACACAAACTATGTATTTCAGAATCAACCATTTTTAAGGGTAAAACAAAATAACCACTTGTGGAGACACTGCCACCAGTTTGAAAATTAAGGATGAAAAAGAAAAAGGAAAAGTTCATTTAAGATATAATAATATTGTTTACATTTTAATAACTACAGACATATGCTAATTGTTTAGAATACAAAATCTTACAGCAGGTTTTTTCAAGCCAGTTCAGCTGGGTTCTCTACTTCTTTGTTAATGACTAGCTAAGGGACTTGAAAGTGCCCTAATGAATTTTACATTAGATTCCACAATATGAACAGTATATATTATCTCAGCACCTAGTAAATGCATAAATGCATCTTCCTAAGTATAATTTTTAACATGTAAAAATTGTGGTTTGATTTTACATTTAGTATTAGAGACTGAGACAAAAATAATTTGTACAAGAATAAAATTATGATCACATTTCTCATGTCATCAATCTGTTTCACGACTTTGTGAAGATCTGCTCATCCTAGTTCTCAGAGTTCAAAGACAACAGAGCTCGCTTTTCCCTCCTGCGGTTAAAAAAGTGATGCTACTTACACCGATTTCTAAATCTACAGAGGATGAGTGATAACATATTGTCAGTATGCAAGCTATCCATAAATTCAACATTAAACATTGCCACCCGGTCACCAGACATCCTCTGCGTTTTGGACTTAACACACAGTTTATAACTTCACAACCACTTACCATTTTCATTAAATCCTTGAAATCGGGACACCAAGAAAAACTATTCTACAAACGGAACAAACGAAAAGGACAGAACAGTGCACCAAAATCCAGTAAGAACCAGGCAACATCAAACATGAAAACTGAAAAACTTGCTTTTATAAAGTATTTCTCTAATTTCATAATAAGAAAAAAGATCACCTATCACACATTATCAAGGGGGAAAAGGTTTCATGAGTGGTACATTGTCCACACTGAATGCTTAGAGCAGGCAGACAAGCACGTATAGCATGAACAGCAGCACCGAGGAAGCAGCCCAGCAGAGCTCTGGAGTTGGCAAAAGGCAGGTGCAATCCCTCGTAGCCGTTCTTTACAAACGTCACAAGTCACCACAATGTACACTGCTTAAAGCCAGCACGAGGGGTTTACCATCGGCACATGAACACCCTTGACATCTACATCTAATACTCTTTTCTGAAACAATTTGATCACCAATTCTCTTAAAACTATTTTCCTTATCATGATATCACCATAAGCATAGTTGCAGTCTTAAAAAGTTTAGTTGTTGTATAACTGTTTATATTCATCTCCCAGTAATGTATTTTCTAGTACACAGGTTTGTTTTTGTAATGAACCCTTTCTGTCAATTAAAAACAAGCAAGAAATGCAACAATAATTGATCCTTAGCCTAAACTGAAGTGGAATTCTAGATTAACCAACATGTATCTTTCAGAGGATCGAGAGGCTATTGAAAAGCATTATTTTTTATGTTTCAAAACTAATTTTGGTCCCACCTGTCCTTAACTTAATGACAACACCATTTGGGAATTTCATGGGCAGCAAAACTATTGGGGAGCCTTATCACGTTAGAATATCTTGAAAATAGTTTCTTGTGATCAATACTTAGATTTAAATAGAGTTTCTATTTCAATCGTGCAAATTTTTGAACACTTAAACGCACTGCAATGAAACAAACATCAAACCTCTCATGGACATTTCAGCCTTCAGCTGTTTTCCCATTTTGTTCACATTTTGCAAGGAACTCAGAAAGCCAAAAGCAATGTCCTTAACTCTTTGACTGCCAAGCTATGTGATCAACTGCTAGAAATTAGCAATGGATTATAATGATCAACGAGTTCTGGAGAACTCCCAGATACCTGCAGAAAACAGAGCTCTGTGGTTTTCTTGGAAACTGCAGGGAGCAGGAAGAGGGCAAAACCCCTCACACAAACAGGCTTTGGGCTTCATCTTTACACTGCTGCCTTAGTCCAGCGCTCTCTTAGACAACAACACTGCCAAGAAGACACAGATCACCCACAGGCTCCAAGTCCACCCTACATTTGAGCTGCACTGCACATGACTTTAGAAACATGAATCTCAAGCAAGCCCTCACAATTGCATTTTATTGACAATCCTAAAAATAATCACAACAAGGAAACAGTGAAGCTTTCCCATTCCATTTCAACTTTGTTACCAGCCAGCCTCTGTTTAAAAAAAAAAAAAAAAAAAAAACGAACATTACCTGTATGAAGAGAACCTGTTAATAGTCTGAGAAGGTACTGGGCAAACTTCAATATTTCACGTTTGCACCGTTTCCTACAGCCACTCATGCTGAGCAACAAGATATTCCTCTGAGGAGAGCCAGGAGTCTTTGCCAATTAAAAAAAAAAAAATAGCAAGAAAAAAACAAACAACAGGAAGACTCTGTCTCTTAGGGGAAACTTCTGTCTCAGTTTATGTCAAAGGCTGCTTTACAACTCTTGTGGAATTAGCTGCTGGTGCGTGAATCGGAAACGCCTTTTAAAAGCACAAGAAGCCAGATCCGAGCTACCACAGTAAGAGGGTGAGGAGGAAGCGCTGCAGCTCAGGATGGTCAGTAAGTTCTGTGGCACAGGCTGCAGTTCACATTTGTAGTAAGCCGCGGCTCAGCATCCCTTCCCAGCAGCGGCAGCCTCCAGACCGTCCGGAGGGAGGCGGGGCCAGCGCTGCCAGCTCATCAGTGAATCAGCATGTAAGCAGGTGAGCAAAGGGGAGGACAGGTCACTGGGTCTGAAACCCCTTGGATGGCAAGACAAGCCCCTGGTGAGGCAATGGAGCATGCCGAGCAAGAATCTCAGGGTCCAAGGATGGACAGAAGGATTCCAAAAAGGGGAGGGGGAAATGAGAGTGTGTTACTCAAGGTCAGACAGCAGACAACTCACTGCCACAGTGTTAATCAGATTCCAAATGCTTCAATGAAAGCAAAGCTCACTGAGAAGCTGACCCCGATTCTAAACAAGGAAGATTTCCTACTGAATGGTGGCAACACTGCTTTGTGTCACAGAATACGTCGCACTTCACGGACTCAGAGGTGGCAAACAAGCTTATACCTAAAAACGAGCTCTATATTCCACACTGCCTAGAGTCAAGTGCTGGGAACCAGGAGAGACCAGTAACACAGCTCCAACTCTCAAACCCTCTAGTTTCCTTCTGGTTGACAGCACGCCAAACTTAATTTCCTACTCGATCCTAAGAGCCGGAAGTGCCTGATTCTTCACATCGCTAAAATGCAAACACCATCGCCCCAGTAATGGGCTTACCTGACTTATTTTAAGATCGAGAACAATTGTGAAGTTTTGCACCTCACCACTTACTTTAGGACAGTGTTAGAGACCGCTGCTATGAAAGCCACAAAACTCCAAATTTTTAAACCTCCCTGGAAGTTCAGTTTTTCTGAATTTGTATGGCCCTCCAACCATTTCTAGAATACACCTGTTAATTTATACAAGCATTTTCGTTTGTCTTGGCCAGCTCCCTATAAACACAAATGCTATCTTTCTGAGATTGTGAATAGGTAGGATTCATGGAACATTTAAACCCTTAGACAGCTGTCATCATTTTGGGGGGAAGTCACATGTACCAACAGTACTGTGGATGGAATACTCCTCTCCCACTGAAAGGAATTCCACTCCTGGAATTACTGACAAACACAACAGTGGCAACACATTGTTCATATTCCCACAAGTCTCAGTACTCCAACCATTCGGAGCACCCTAAACAATTCTACATCAAAGATTTGGTGACTCTGTTGGACTCAGCGATCTTTCCCTAAATGCAAACGATAAAAATTCATGAATTATAATATAGGTAATTTAAATAGTCCTCTCTCAGATAAACTGATAATGTGAAAATTCTTCACAAAAGAAATTTTCTGATCATATGGTTTTACTGGAGAACTCTACCAAGCTTGTAATGAAAAATTAACATTAGCTCTTCACATCAATTTCAGATGACAAATAAGTAATAATTTCCAAAATACATGATTAATTTTCTATAAGCCTGGTATTAAAGGCAAAGATAAACATCATAAAAATACAAATACCAGTTCTGAGAATTGACCTCACGTTCTTAACGTTATTCAGGAGTGATAGGCCAAATATAAAATGAATCATGAAATTCAACAAGGTGGAGTTCATTGCAGAATTGCAAAGTTGGCTTAACATTTAAATGTTAAATTACACAAGCCATTATGTTATCAGGCTAAATGAAAGAATCACATGATTGTATTAAATGATGCAAAAAAAGGCACTTGAAGATTTTCAGCATTCATTCATGACAAAATATCTCTAAGAAGCAGGAATCAACAGAAATTGCTTCAGTTAAATAAAGTGTACCTACAAAAATAAATTGGTTACGCACTTATTTGTTTAAAGAATCAGTATAGACCACACTGTTAGAAGTATCACCCAGTACAAGAGTAAGAAGAAATCAAAGACATACAAATTATTAAAAAGATGAAATCATCTAATTTGCTGATCAAAGGCCTCAATTATTAATCTAGCCACATCTTAACATAGATGTTAAATATTCAAATGCAATTTGAAAAAAATCTATCACACTATTAACACATGAGCACTGAAATATTAAATAAAATATTTTGTGAAAATCTTACAAAATGTGAAAACACATGCTGAAACCTAAAAACTCTAATGTAAGAAATAAAAAGACAAACAAATGAAGAGACATACTGTGTTCATCTAATAGAAAAATCAGATTGGTTCATAGGCTTAATAGAATGGCAATCAAAACCCCAGAATTATATATATATAAGAATATTTATAAAGCATAAAATCATATTACAAAATTAGAGTATCTGTAATATTTGGAAAACTAGTACTGAAATCGAAATTATTTTAAGACTGATAGAGCTACAACAATTAAGCCTGTACTGCTACTGGTGGAAAGATTGACAAAGTGTTCTAATGAAATAAAACAGATCCACGCAAGTATGTGCAAATCATCTCTGACAAAGATGTAAGATCTACTCAGTGGAAGGGGACCATCTTTCAAGAACAGGTGGAAAAGCAGACATCCACAGGCAAACACCGAACCTTGATTAAGGCATCACACCTGAACAGAGTAAGATTCAAACTTGAAAATTAGATGTAAACTTATAAAACACTTGATAAAAACAGAATACCTCAACAAGCCCTAGGATGAGGCAGAGTTCTCAGAGTTGACATGAACAGTAAGTATGAATGAAAGTCTGTTAGGAGGGTGAAAAGGCAAGCCTCAGAGACGAAGTACATGTTGGCAAGTCACACGTAACAAAAGACTAGTGTCCAGAACACAGAAAGGTGTTTCAAAACTTGAAAAATTAAACACAGTCCAACAGGGTCACCGGAAAAAACAAACGAAAGACTCATAACAAGACCTTTCACCAAATGGCAAACTTATAAAAATGTGTTTAGATATGACCAAAATGCAAAGAAAGCTAGCCTATCATTGCACATCTAGCAGAATAACTAAAACACATTTTTGAAATAATGATGACATCAAACATGGGCGAGGATCAGGGGAACTGAATTCTTCATTGTTGATGTAAAGGGCAGAGGCACTGTCACTTCGGGAGATAGTTTAGTAGTCTCATAAACATGTAAGCGCACATCAACTATAAAACCCACCTATTATGCAGAAGGAGAAGGGGAAGAAAGGGGAATGGAGGCATCTCTACACAAAACTCATAGGAAAAAAATCATAGAAAATAATAAAAACAATCTTAAAATTTTAAAAAATAGGTAACTATTTAATAATAAAAACCAGTTATATGCATGAGCCATTTTATCCCAGGAGAAATGGAAGTTTATTTCACACCAAAAAACTGTATTCAAACCTTTAAGCATTCTACTTGTATCTGCCCAAATATGCTTGGGTGCCTGCACCCATGTCAAAGACCTGCTAGAAGCTCCCGTCTCCTGCCTTTGGACTAGCTCATCTCCAGCTGTTGCAGCATTTTAAGGGTTTGAAACTGTGCATGGAAGATCTTTCTTGTTCTCTCCTCCTAAGTCATCTTTCAAATCAAAATAAGTAAATATTTAAAAAAGAAATGTTTGTGTAAGCTCCTCCCATTTGCAGATACACAATACAACTTTATGAGTGCTTATTAAGGTTTCTTGTCTTCTAGATGAAACCAGTTAGCACTTTGGGCACATGGTATGGAGGCTACTGAAGTGCACTGCCTTAAAACTACAGTTTAATTTGAAGGCAAAGTGGCTCATCATGAACTAGAAATCAAAGTTCCTAGGATGAGAGATGAATCACAAGCAGTGGTCTTATTAGCTAAGGTTACAGAGGAATGTCGAAGTGTAGGCTCATTTCAAAATGTATTTCTCCTAATTGCATCTTGGAGGAAATATAGTTTGGACTAGCTCTTTCAGAGAAGGCAAAGTCTGAGTGAAAACAAAAGGTGAATGCACTCAGGTGACCCTCGGTGCCAGAGAGTGGAAAATTCGATAGCCCTGCTTGGCTAAGGGAAGGAGTCTGGAGTCCCCTGAAGATGCCAAGATTCCGAGGGAGACCCTGCTCACCAAACAATGCTCTCTCAAAGACTGCTCCGCTCAATACATCCTTTCATATTCTGTGTATCTTGGTGAGCAAAGACATTGTTATGCTTTTCAAATTGTCACAAAGTTGCAAAATTAAACATGTGCAGCATAAAAATAGCACACCACAGGGCTGCAAAGAGAGGCAGAACAGAGCCTTGCGGCAAAGTCACAGGTTTGGAAAGTGGGTCTCGACAGAATATCAGACTAGTTAGTGTCCATTAGATAACAGTACCCCAATGCCAAGTCCATTATTACTCCTGAAGCATCATTATTCACCTACTCCAATGACTAAGGAGCATGCCAAAACACTATTAACATTTGCATCAACTTTATAGATAGCTTTGTGAATGCAAAGCAACTAGAATATAAGATCTGCAGGTATGAGAAGTCCCTGTTTACCATGCATAGGTGTTTTTCCTTGATTTAAACTTAATAAATATTTTGCAAAATGCAAAGAACACCAATGGTATTGAGGTTGTAATACCATGATTTAAAGTCACACAATAGAGATGAAAGCGTAAGTAAATTACAGAATTTTATGTTCTTCTGATACAAGGAAGGTAAGATTCTACAAATATTTACATGTAAATATATTTTAGATATTTCAAAAAGACAAATCAGCCCAGGACTAATGAGGTTCAGCTATTTTTGTTGCTGTTGTTACATCATTTTTTGAAGAGAAAGAGCCTCAGCTTGTCAAATACAAGTGTTCAGAGCTAAGTAGTGTTCATGGCTTAAATGTGTATTTGAGAAATAGTTCATAGTATTTTTAAAACGACTCTCCATCAGTGAAACTGCCTACCCACAATGCTGTCAACAGGCTTTGTAATCATGGTGGTAGGTAGGAGATGGGAGCAGGTGCATTTGGCTGATGGAGAGGCCTCAATGCCAGAGACAGCCTGAATATATAATATTTAAACTAAAAAGACACTGGAGAACCCTGCCCAGCACAAACAGCGCTGTCATCCTGGGCATGGAAACACATTTGCATATCAGCTTACAGTACTGAGAGAGAAGAGGC